ACCCAGCTGGAGCCAAAGACGCTGTCACGACAAAAGCGAAAGAAGATTATCAGGGCTTTCCCAAGGCCGTTGGCAAGCGGAGGGGGCTCAGAAGGCAGCGGTGTTTCTTTGGAGCCGGGATGGTGTTGGCATGAATTTCGGTGCCTTTCGGCACCATGTGCAGTTTTTGTGGTGCAGCTTCTTGATCCGGGCGAAACATTCCGGTGGGAGTCTGTGGTCTTGGGCAGCAAAAGGGCGCTTATCCTGTATGTGGGACCGGCTGGTCGTGATGTCGGTTGTGAGTGGTATCGATGGCAGTCCGAGTGCGGGGGTGATGTTGCCATGTTGGTGCAGGACAGCCCCGAGAACCACGAGGGCAGCATCAACTATTTCCATGCGAAAGGTGCCCATGGTGCTCTTAGGGATGTGTGGCAAAGTTTGTCGTGTAATTCCTCGTTTCCTTTGTGCGGTGCGGTGCTCAGGTGGAACTTCGGCAACGAGAACGTCGAGGCCCTGGGGCACTCTTTTCCCGAGGAAGCTGTTGAAGCCATTGACGGTGAGGCCGAGGACATGGAGCCCGAGGAGGGCACAGCAGAAGCCCCGGACCTGGCTGCAGCCGGGGAGCTTACCGCGCACCAGAAGGCACTCGTGAAGCGCATGCACGATAACATGGGTCACCCCGACCGGTTGACCTTCTTGAGGACGGCCCGGCGGGCGAGAGCCAGCCCGGCCGTGCAGAAGTACATCAAGGAGAAGTTCGAATGCGAGGCATGTAAGTCCCGACCTCTACCTAAGCCAAGTCGTCCTGCCACCGTTGTTCGAGGCTATCGTCCAGGAGTCATTGTCGGTGTCGACGTTCTGTTCCTTCCCGATGTTGACCCTAGGCAGCTGAAGCCCGTTCTCAACATAGTCGACTGGGGCTCGGGATATCAGGCGCTGGAACCCATGCGGGAGAAGACGGCCAACGAGGCCTTCCGGAAGTTCTGGAAAGCATGGGGCCGTCACTTTGGGTCGCCCGAGGTGATGGTGACCGATGCCGG